CCTGCTAGACACCCCAGGTGTTCACCGTGATAGGATTAACGATAGTGGAAATGCCAAATGAAACTGAGCAATAGCCCTGGAAGATAATTGAACATGTAAATTGTACTTTGGTGTTTAGACTGTTAATTGCGCTGCTGTTCTGGTTTGCGTACGGTTAATTGTATGTAGGGTAGGGATAGGGACTAAGGTATGCCGCGCACTTCTCATTTGTGTACAAACAATCCAGTGTTTACAAACAACGGTAACGCTGACCGTGCGGAGTCGATGAGTGATAGTGCTGCACGTACACAGAGGAGAATTGAGATAATGAGGACTGGCTTTTACAGAGGCGTGTAACGATACTCGGCAGATTTGTAGTCGGAAAAGCGGAACCGTCCGGTGTCTGTTTTTAAACACCCTGTAGCGTACGTGTACTCGCGCCGCGTAATAACGCGTGACACGATCGGCGGACGTTCGGAACGAATTTCTGGAGGATGAGTTCCCGTTTCGCGGAACGAGGCGCGGACAGCGTCGCCGGATGGCTCGGAAATCACGCGGTCAACGTACCCACGCGACGCGGTCTTCTATGCAATTCGATTGTTTCAATCTGATGGAACACTGGCAGCCGTCACTCACCGTTTCGTCTGTGCAACACCGATTTACATATCGATTTTCGGATGAGGCGTTAACGCGCCGTGATGGAAGGCGGTCCGCTCGGGAAACGGTGTACAAAAGGCGCTCACTGGGCCGAGGGAACAAAAGTTTAACGAATAGATTCGATGCACAGCGAATACGCGATGAAAGAGTAATAACAGTGGAGAATTATTGTAAATAATTCGAATGTTGGAAAGGGTAAATCGATCGTTGAATTCCAGTGTGAACTTTACTGGAGTGATTCTGTAGAGATGGAATGGATAATTGATGTTAGGTGCTTGTACCTTTCGAGGACTTAATGTGTTTTCGAAATAGAAAAAAAATCGCGAACCGTAAAATTCTTTAAGTACCTACTGTTGCTTTGTATCGACGTTTACGGTAGCGTTGCGATTTTGTACCGCGTGACAGCAGTTTGGTGTCGCTACTGTGTCACAGTTCGTCTAAGAAAAAAACTATTGCATCGAATGAGTAGGTTATTTTGCAGGAAGAGTGTGGAGAATGTTTTGAAATATATTTGATTATTATCATTTGTACTGTGATCTTGGTTACGTGAGGTAGAATTCATTCCGATGATGGGATCCGATCACACGCACAGGAGATGGAGCAATTTAAGAAAAGTATTAGAGAGATCAGGCCCCTTTTGTAGGCCAGACTTCGAGCCATCGTCGGAAACCTTGCAATTTTTATTAGAAAATTGTAAGATCCTTGTTGTCGGCGCCGGTGGTTTAGGATGCGAGTTACTTAAAGATTTAGCTTTGATGGGATTCAGACATATTCATATAATTGATATGGACACGATTGAATTGTCTAACCTTAACCGGTATAACTGAAAGAAATATCTATTGAGATGAATATGTAAGATTGTTGAATGTATAGAGGTTGAAGTAATGCTGGGAAATTAAAATTGCAGGCAGTTTTTATTTAGGCATAAAGATATCGGCTTGTCAAAAGCAGAAGTAGCTGCACGATTTGTGAATGCCAGAATTCCAGGCTCCGATGTTGTACCACACTGTTGCAAAATACAAGATAAAGATGAAGAATTTTACAGACAATTTCATATAGTAGTTTGTGGCTTGGATTCAATAGTTGCAAGGAGATGGATCAACGGTATGCTCCTTTCCCTTTTAATCTATGAAAACGGAGAATTAGATAAATCTAGTATTATACCGTTGATCGATGGAGGTACGGAAGGTTTTAAAGGAAATGCAAGAGTCATTTTACCTGGTCTGACTGCTTGCATTGAATGTACTTTAGACCTATATCCTCCACAGGTAAATAATCTATATATTTCTTCCTGCCGATTATACTCTGTGCTATAGCTTCCTTTACTTCTAATTGCCTTTGAATATAGGTCACGTATCCATTATGTACAATAGCAAATACTCCACGTTTACCAGAGCATTGTGTAGAATATGTAAAAGTAATCCAATGGCCAAAAGAAAATCCATTTAATTGTCAGATAGATGGCGATGATCCTCAACATATAAATTGGATTTATGAAAAGTCTATTGAAAGAGCAACACAATTTGGTATACAGGGTTTAACTTACAGACTCGTTCAGGGAGTAGTTAAAAATATTATACCTGCTGTAGCATCAACCAATGCTGTTATAGCAGCAACTTGTGCTACAGAAGCATTTAAGCTTGCCAGTAGTTGCAGTGCCTCACTGAATAATTTTATGGTAATGATATAACATCAACATATAAATATTTACTAAATAAAGGGTTCAGCTTTATAATGTACTTAAGAAATAATTTTCTATGAAAGGTGCTGAACGATTTAGATGGAATCTATACATACACTTATGAAGCAGAGAGGAAAGAAGATTGCGTAGCATGTAGTCAAATCCCAAAGACAATAGAAATTAGTAATCTGAAATTCAAGCTAAAAGATTTGATAGAGCTTCTTTGTGAAAGAACCGACTTACAAATGAAAAATCCAGGTCTTACCGCTAATATTGATGGCAAAAATAAAACTCTATATATGCAAACCGTACCAAGCATCGAGGAGAAAACTCGTGAGAACTTAACGAAAACTTTAATTGACCTTGGATTGAGAGATGGTAACGAGATAAATGTTGCTGACATTACTACGCCTAATGCAATCGTATTAAAATTAAGATTCGTTTAATCTAAGTCAGATACGTTCTAATCATAAAACTCCTTCATTTCATGGTTCACGAATTTATGACTACAAATGTCAATCGTGTATTTACAGTATTTATATCAATTTTCCATCGGTTTTAAAAATGTTAGGAAGACAAAAATTTGTTCAGCAAAATCAAAAACATCTTCGATGTAGTATCGTTTTCAACGAACCTATAAAATAGGTACTACACGGTAACATTGTTTTAATATTAATTTACTCTAAATTTCTGTAATAAACTGGTATTGCTATTTCTTTTTTTAAGTAGTATTAATTTTCTTTTCCTATTCTTAAATGTAACAGAAGCGAATATTAAAACTATGTTAATTTATGACATACCTGTTACATTAACAATAAA